AGCAACATTACAAAGTAACCCGCTTCACAGCCAGTGCTACTGACCTGCGGGTTTCCGCGGTGCTCTGTCCTCGAACTCCAACTTTTCATGCTGTTCATCAAGGACGTTCCAGAAACGTCTCAGACCCGCATGCCTGATTATGCAGGCGACTTCAGGCATTGTTCCGGAGGTATCGGAAGTCAACACTGCTGATACGCTATCGGCAAATCGGGCTCTATTACACGACGGGCCTACAAAGTGTGGTTTACCTAACAACGTTGTCAGTTGTTGTGCCTCCGAATGGAGAGTCTGATCCACTTGGCAACTGCCATATTAAGAATTTCCCTCTCAAAAAATGCCGCCCAAGTGAAAGCTATAGGTGCGTTAATTGTCTGTGTCCTAATGCCTCTCAGGAAACAATGAGGAGCGTGACTGCTGGTAACAGGAAGTGGGGTTATTAGGTCACCGCCGCTTATGACACCATAGTTCTTCAGGCTAGTATTTACCCTTCACACACGACCTAGTTTTAAGCGCGGTCAACCGGCTACGTTGCCACGCTCAAATCTAGAACGTACCCAAATAGAAAGCGTCCCGAGAATTGGCCCAAATTTGGCCTCGGACTCTTGGATTGCTCCTTCCCTTTTTGAATCCAAGAGAGGAACCTCGGACTACTTCCTTACTGTCGCCGCCGTGCAGAACTCACCTTGGCCAGGCTCATGAATAGAGGGCAACTGCGGCAGTTTTCTGAGTACAACGTAGTATGCCCAACACAAATTCCCAATAGAAAACTACTTTATTCGTAGATTCCTGAAGTCCGCTCCGCAGTCGCCCTTTCTACTTTGCAGGTACACGAGCGGAATAACGCAGAAGCCATAGTCAGCGAAATTACGGAGAAAAGCCTCAAGCTTCTATCGTATTATCATCTGCACACGGTGCCTGGGCAGCGCTGTTGGCCTACGAATTGCTTGGTCCCTTGAGGACTGTACAAGCGCTAATGTGCACTTACTTCTCATGCTGGAGTGGAGGCGACGGTGTTAAACTGGTAGTCTCTTCCTGCCCTCCACAATTCAGTGCATTCAGTGAAGTAGTCTGGCATACGGACTTAGTATACCGTGATGGAATATGCCCGGCCTAGTCAGGATTCTAACGATTGATTGACTCACATCATTGCCCTCCCTTTTGCGGTATGGAGAGCGTATTGTTATTTAGAATAATTAACCAAGTTTAGCATAGACCAGGTATCATTCGTCTGTAGTTCAAAATTTCCCACCATAAATGATAAATTGTGCTCCTGCCCGTTTTCAGCTTTTTAAATCTCCATTTCTTTTGCTTTTTCGTCTCTCTCATTTGTATTTTTGTTTTTACTTCATGTAGATGAAGTAATACTTCCGTATGTTCGTGCCAAACAACTTGCTGTTACCTCGTAAGGGCTGGGCTGAAGCGGTAGACAGTAGACATGCGGTGAAGGTAGCGCTCATTGACTTCGCAAAGGCCTTTCACACTGTCTTCCGTTCGCGACTGTCGTTGAAGCTAAGGTTTTATGGAATACCCGATCGCACACCCTAGTGGGTATCAGCTTCTCTGGATAGACGGGAATGTTTATTCGTGAGGGAAGCAGTCTTTGGCTTCGACTAGCTGTATTTAGCAGCTTTCCGTAAAGCTCTGTCCTAGGTCCTCTGATGTTCTCAGTATACGTGAATGATTTGCAGGGAGCTTGAGGTACCATTGCTCTTGTTAACTGATGGCCTGAAGAACTGGAATGTTGTTGATATCCATGGAGTTCCTAGGGCTCTTCAACAGGCTCGGAATAGGCTCTGGGAATTGTCTGTCTTGTGGTTGCTGCCTTATAAACTGGGCAAAGTGTTCAGTGCTGCGCATCTGAGCGTCCAATTACTCTACAAATTATGTGCTCAACGGGAGCGAACTCCTTTATGTGACTAATTGGGTTAATCTGGGTAACGTCTACTATTCCAAACGTTACTCTGGAGACAACTGGAAGTAGGCGGCTAGTAGAGGGTCCCGGATGTTTTGCTTTATCCATTCTTTCGGGACCCTGACCGCTAATATGTTTGTGAAGATTTTCATAACCTTCATGCGACCCTATCTATGACGTTGCGTCCAGGCCTATCCACCTTGCCTTGTTCGGGACGAAATGGTACTAAAATGGGTGTTGCATGTCGGTACTAGGTTGGTCGAAGGGTTACGAGGAAAAACGTACCTCAGACGCTTACTTAGTTTGGGGATGCGTCCTATGAACTATCAAGTATTAGTGGGGACCTAATCCTAACTTACCTTATTTCGACTGGGAAGGTTGGACCTGATTTGTCCTGGCTATTTAGTCCTGGCAGATTAGCTGGTCTCCGTGGGCATTGCATGAAGCTGGACAAACCGCGGTCCGATAGAGTAAGAGACAAGAGACACGGCTATTACGTCGTGCTTTCGAGCATGGGAACTTGCTTACAGAAACCGTTGTCCATGAAGCTACGGTTAAGGGGTTTGAGCGTCAACTAGATGCTTTTGGGGAGTAAAATGAAACCTTTCGCTTTCCTGGCTAATTTCCATCTCCAATCTTTGATTCTATTTTCGGAACTTTCTTTTAACGTTGTTATTATCCTCTTCTTGTAACCGATTTCCCTTACGCTACCGTCAATTTCTTCTTCTCTTGCTTACTTCCCGTAACTGGCCTAGTCGGGACAGATAATGCCAAGAACGTAGGCATTAAATTAGTGGACCTAGATGATTTCCGTTGTTTTCGGATTAGGTATGTCAAGCAGTAGGAGCACCCCTATCAATCTCTGAATCAACGACACGCTCAAGAAGGAAGACTTACAGATTCATGCTATCGTTCCAGTCCCACCTGAACTTGGACTTGAACTGCTATTAATGGTAAATGGACGTAACTTCAAATCAAGACAAAACAAGCGTTATGTACCCTTTTGGGTTCAGTTTCAACATTTACACCAGCACTGCGACTCCTGGATGTTCATATTAATATACATGTTGTAAGTAGTAGGGGGATTTATTAGGTTTTTGCGTAGATCCGTCGCAATTTGACCCAGACAGATAGCCAATACACATCCAGAAAAGCGCTAGACGTCCAGTTCGTCCTATTAGGACTCGCCAGTAGCGCGCATCCTCCGAATCCTACCGGGTTCGAACCCACGACCTAATTCTTGCGAGTCAGCGACTTATGTTATTGAGCCATGGGCGACGGCAGCGAAACGCCATGATTGACGACTAACTGCCATATAGCGGTTCATCCTCCACTGCCAGCACGTTTGCTTTGCAACCATAAGGTCACAGGTTCGAATCAGCGTAGGGGTGGGCGTCCTCGCGATATACTCAGCCCGCCCGCTACTGGTGGCGGTCGCGCGACGGCAAAGCGCCGTTACGGCCTTCTGCCGACACATCATATATATATATATATATATATATATATATATATATATATATATATATATAGGTCTACCAAGACGTGTTTTCAAGAAGGTTGTATCCTTTCTATTAAAGTGGCCAGTAAAAATGCAGAGCAGTCTAACAAAAACAGTAGCGCTGAAGAAACTTGGTATTCAGAGAGCTTTAATTCGGATGCGGATGTGCCAAGAGCAATGTATACGTCTCGAACAATGACTGACCGGAAGCCACTTAGGAATTTCGATTTGCAATCAACTAAATGTCAGCTTATAGAAATCGTTGAGCACGTAAATATTAAGCATGCTGCTTTGCACCATCGTTGATTAACGCAAGTTATAACGCCACTACCACGGAACTGGGGCTTCCCGGGGCGGTCAGACCTGATGGAAAAATAACCATCGAGTTGAATTACCCTTTTTCCCGCATCGACACGTATCCAGCTTAGTTGAAACAGAATATTTCCTGTAGTAATATACTCATTTTGCTGCGTAATGACACTGAGTTTACTGGTTTTACCAAGGAGCGAGCGAGCTCTCAAGGTCCCTTGTGGATAGCCGCATAACATCGAATCGCGGCCTCCACACAATGACCGGCAAGCGATGGAGCTGACAAAGGATTTCTCCTTCTGCTCTCTACAACCTATGAACCTATGAAAACTGGAAAGTATCAGTGAGGCTTACGCTTTGTCGACAGAACAACGCCTGAGGTCAGCTTACCAGACAGCACGATGCTTGCACTTTTTCCAAGACATCTATTCGTAATACGTTTGCAGCAGTTCCTGAATGTATGACCGTGTCCCATTAGGCACGGATTTAAGATATTCCACGTAACGTTTTCAAATGTTTGACAAGGTAAAACAACAATGACCTTGAGACCTAGTCAAAAAAACAAATCGCTCCAGAGTTAGAAATACAATATAGAATCCGCAGTCTGTGGAATAAAATAATTTATCGAGAACAACAATTGCCGAATATGATGGCCCCGCTCACATGTTTTTAATCGCACAGTTCCCGTTAGCTATCATACATTGTAACTTATCATTAACTAAAACAGCTCAACTACGCACTCATGGAGGAACATACAGAAGGTATTGTCCCCCTGAATCTGGACTTGCTAATGATCCCTTCGTGGCCAAGGTCACTGTGTCCTTCGACTGCGTGCCATGCTCGCCGTCCCATTATGATTTGGTTTTCTTTTCTTTGTTTTTAATTCCCTAATGTGGTAGCGCTCAGTCAGAGTTTGGTCTCACTTGTTGTGTCCATGACTGGCAAAGGATCTACAAATGCTTTTTCTTCATTCCAAATTAACAGTCAGGATGTCTGGGATGCGGACGATGGGGAGTACCTTCAGATAATATCATATAAAGGTATTCATTCTCCGAACACTATATCTTTTGCTAGCCGCTAAGAAGGCGGCTGAGAAAGTTTTAGAGTCTCATAAATTTGAGGCGCAGTCGGCTGAGACAGGCTCAAATCGTGTGAGTTAATTTTCGTGCTCATTGATCCTCATTTCATGGTTAACTTTTATAGCTACCGAAGTATTCTTCGCTGTCGTCGGTTTTGTTGTGATATGCCGTTGTTGGAAAGAGAACTAAGAAGCGCACGTTAACCGGTTCCTTTAAGTTTAGGTTCTTGGTAATTTGAACGGTAAAACGCGTCGCATTCGGGTGCTTGCTTGGTTGTTGCTGCGGATAGTTACCTTTGACAACATAAGTTTTGTGTTTCGGATCCGTTGAGGGGTATTGCAATGTGTTCTTACAATTCCACATGGTTTAGGGGGCATAGATGCATGTGTTCATGGATTTCAGCCTCCGGTATAGAACGTTAAACCACAGTACTATTGGTAACAACCTGAAAACGGTTTTCATTGTTTTTAGCCTACAAACCGTTTTTCGCACCTAACGATATTTTTTGGTCCCCGCTGATTTTTTCGCTTTAGGATAGTCTGGGCATGATGAAATCTACTATCTTTCCCGAGGTTGTCACTTGGACTACGAACCGCTGTTTTTGTACTCGGGTGACTGGCTAAATCGCTGACATAGCAGCAGTAGATGAAGTGATTGCGGTCAAACAGTTGAATATAACTACTAAAGGATACTTGCATTATGCTCTCCGTGTTCAGCCATAGTGGCAGCTGGTGCACGAATATTAATATTTATAGCGATGATATTTTAACCATCACTTCATGCCGAAATATTTCGCATAGGGCAACACTTTAGTTGTAGCTTGGAAAGGCTACCATCTGACACTATGTGGATGTCGCATTTCTGACCGGCTTTGAATGCAAACATGTCCTATGCGTCGTTATTAAGACGCAGTTTAATTTTCCATCACCAACATTGCTCTCACAGTAACGTTCGCATTTTGTCCAGCTGCAGTAGTGGGCCGTGCGCCTCGCTGCGAAACGATTGTGGAGGTTCAGTATATCATGGAAATAACTGAAATTATTTAAATTAAGTTGAGATGTATGGTGGTTTCAACTAGCAAGTATGAGTGTCAATGCCTGCTAGTATCGAAACTCACAAACGGAAATACTTTCATATTAAGAAAGATCTTCATCATCCTTGATCTCTTCCCGAATGAGTGGCTTCCTTAACTATCATTACTTATGGGTGGTTGCAAGTACATGACTGTCTTTTTATTAAAAATCGTGTGGCGGGATGAAAGACCACACATTTTGTGCCAGGGATATGATATCTATCCCAGTGGCACTTTCAGCGAGACACTCAGATACTAGCCGTATGCGATGACACGTAAGAGACGTGCCAAGCACCAGAGTACGGACAAATGCTACTTGATCTTGATAATGCAGACAATATTATCTTGCTGTTTAACAATGTCGGGGCAGCGTAATCAACCCTGAATAGCCCATGTAGAGCAGTCCCATTACTTGGCATGCGCTTCGTACTTTCAAAGTGCAAGGTGTGGTTGCAGGTCCACCAGCCACTTGATGAAACCATGACCCTTGATAGCGAGGAACTTGAGGTTGTTGATCAATTCATTTACCTTGGAATCTGCATCAGCAACGATAGACGCATAGCAGCTGAAGTCAGTTCAATTATTGCAAAAGCCAGAACTGCCTTCTTGAATCTGCGTCAGAAATGGGTTGCCCTCGGTCTAAAAGGCCGTGTTTACAAGGCTATAGGGCGGGCCGTCCTACTATATGGTAGTGAAACTTGGCTCCTTACATCTGAGGCACCTTCACATTTTTGCTCGTCGCTATCTGCGGTGCGTTGCTGCTGCCGGGCGGCACCAGCGTGTCCGCAACGTTAATCTGCGTAGGTGAGTACTAAGCATTGACAACCAAGCTAGTTCCTTAGGACAGGAGATAGCATTGAATAAGATGCGTTGACTTGGATATGTACTATGTATGCTCGGTCACCGCTTACTGAGGGAGGACTTGCTTTGTCTGCCAGCCTTCCAGGCTGGAGTTCACATGTCTCGCCTTGTGCTTGGCTCGAGAGCTTAAGGGGTATGACTCGCAGTCCACACCAGTCGCACGTCTCTGCCGTCTCTTAGTCGGGTTGCCTAGTTATAGTGTGCTTGGTGCTGAGTTAACTGCGGGGTAATGGCTGATAATGACGTCGGGCAGTGAAAATCACAAAATAGCTGTCTCGCCGATGCCGCCTTATCTTTGTACGATAGTCAGCTGTTTGTGTCGGTATATTGTTGTCAAGATTGGCCCTTAACTTAGAGGATCACAAGCGTGCCTTGTGATCCGGGGGCGCGGGTTCGATCTTGCGTAGGGGACCTGTCGACCCTCGCAGTATCTGTAGTCTGCGCGCGACTATTGTTTGCGCGGCAACGAACTGTCGGTACTGCGTACCGGCGTGCTGCTGATGTTTCCTTTTTCTTGGTTGGAAAGTGTAAGAGCCTTGCTTATGAATGTTTGATTAGGGAATTAACGTTTTCCGGTAAGCCCACATTCTCTTCCTCTTATTCTTCCTTCCGTACTTCCTTGTGGTTGTACCACAGTGAAGCATCAGTTCAAATGGCTGATGTGCTGCTGCTGATGATGCTAACAGACCTAGATAGATTTGTTACGTTCTGCCGTCGCTTCCTTCGCGGTTTAGCTAATATCCGATGCGAACACTACGTGAGGAATGATCGCGTTCGGCCTGCCGTATTTGGTGCTGCACTAGTGTGAACCGCTCAGCAGCACGCACGGATTCCTGGGCCACGTGTTGCGCATGTCAGCACACCATCTGACGCGACGTGCGTTGTTTCCGCGACCAGTGTTTGAATGGAAGAAGGGAAGGCCCAGCGATAACTTAGTCAGGAGGAATGAAAACCCTCACTTCCGATTTGATGCACATTTCTTGACTCAGACTGTGCTCTTGTCTGTGCAAACATTGCATGAGTTTCGGAGCGTTCCCGAAAACGAAGCACTGTTAAGTACGTACAAATAAACTATCTACTCCCTCGGTTCACAGAGGTATCAATCTTCTCTGGCCGATGAACTCAGCTGCGACCCACCGCAAAATTGCTAAACGCTGGACGTTCATGCCGTGAACCATGACCACTTTAGGACAGTCACTCTGTGGGTCTTACTCTGCAATCTATGTGGGCATGGGTCTCCACGCGCTCCACGCTCCCTAGATCTATTTGACCTCTGCAGAAATAGCCAAGTGGTGTCTAATCATATTGAATTGCGCCGTCCTATCAGTCGGCAGCTCAAACCAAGTCTACGCAGTGAACGCGAAGCTTAGTGTTCTCATCGGGCTTCGGACATAGAGGTAAATACCTTCTCTGACAATGCTCGCAAGCTCTTCTAGCTCATTCAATCCATTGGCTACAGGAAGCTTGGTGTAATTGAGACTGTGAAGCGAGTAGTTCGCCGATCGAAGCATAAACCGAACATTTTAATTCCCAGTTCAATTGGTCCTCATCGTTTACTTATACGCCTCGCGAATCCGGCTGTGTTCCCTGAGCCGTCCCACTTGATCCACCCAGCAGTTCTTAAGTTTGCCTTGCACTTTGACACTTGAAACGATTTGAGGCGGTGGCTCAGACGGGCTTCCTCCGGAATTGTCCAACTATAGTCACGCAGTTACCATTAGCCAGCTAGCCTCATTGATCCCCAAAATCTGGCATGAATTAAAGGTGCCTTCCTCCTGCGGTGAATCAGCTGTTTTCCTGATTTAAGAAGGGTGCTTGCAATTCATGCACCAATTACCGGTGGATTAGTCTCATTTCGGTCACATCCAAGCTATAGGCATCCACTCAATTTCGTCATCATCATCGTCATCATCAATACACGTTAGCCGAAGGTGAGGGACAAACCTCAGGTAATGTGCCGCGATGCAAAAAGGATAAGAGATTAAACCATTTGGAGCAAAAATGATGTAAAAAAGTAACCTATTGCTAAATATTACATTATGCATAGGGTTTGAGATCGCTGTTGAGAGGGAAGTTAAAGGAGAGGAGAGCGACAAAGAAACTCACAACACAAACGCCATTGAGGTCGGCTCTTCGCCGTGTCACCTAGTGTGTCTAACCAAACGTGTTCATCGTCCGTCGGTCCCCAGCCCGGAAGTCGGAAAAAGCTAACCGACTTTACTTTCGAATTGAGGGACTTCATTCCTCTTGATCAAGTCATCCCGGGCCTCCATTCTCTTCTTCCATCCAAGCCAAGGGCGCGCAAACAACGCACGGTGTGCTGGCATGCGCAACCTGTGGCCTAGCCATCGGGGCCTGGGGTGTGACATTATGGCACTGAGTGGTTAACTCGCTCTTCCTGTACCAAATACGCGACGCCGACCACACTCGCTGCTCACGCGGTGTTTCCACCAGACATAAGCTATGCTGCGAAGACAGCGATTGTCAAACGTGACAGGCTTCTTTAGGTCTATCGACTTGATGGGCCAGGTTTCGCAACCCTACAGAAGAGCTGAACGAATGGCTGCATTGTAAACTCTACCATTTAGAGGGAGAGTGATGTCACGCCGGTGCCACAGGTGGTGGAGATTGGCAAAAGCGTCTGGAGCTTTTGGCATGCGGTTTGTGATTTCATCTTCAATTCCGCTGCCGGCCCATAACCTAAAGATAACGACCTTGTCTTGTAATCGGACGGCGCGGTTTCTGTCCTGAGTAGGGATGGGGCGACCCTCGCAGTATCCTTAGCTCGCATGCGATTGGTGGTGGTTGCGCGGCAGCAAAGCGCCGGTACTGCGTACCGACGACTTCTAGCTGATTACCACCAAGGGTCAGCGCAGTGGTGAGTCCCTACCAATCTTGGGAAAGAACTTCGCATTTCGACGGTGCAAAGCATAGCCCGAAACGACTGACAGTCAGTGCTAATTTGTCTAGTGTCACTTAGCACGTTTGAAAACTGCCACCGATAAGGGCAATGTCGTCCGCGTGCTCCAAGTCAAGCAGTCGATCACCTGAGAGTAGGTGCACGCCTTGTAGGTCTTGTCCAGTGAACGAAGTCTCCATAACTTCATCAGTGACGAAGTTAAAGGTGACAACGGGCAAC